TCTCTCTCTCCCCTTGGAGAAATGTCCTAAGCCATACTACATGAATGAGAGGACCATAATTCTACCTTGTACTGTTTAAACTCTGACCTAGGGCAGGGTTATGCTAAAGAAACTATCAAAAAGCTGTTGAGACACAATGACATTCTTGTACCTTTCCCTAGTGTTATAGATTCCCTCCAAATTATTCATCTTGGGAGTCCAAAATTTAGCAGCTCTGCCTCTGTGGGGGAACCCCTGATCTTCTGGAGCCTATTAGAATAGCCAAGTAGAGAGTTAAGCATCCAAATAGACAGAGATGCTACAGAGACCATTTCTGAGAGCTCCCACTGACAGTGCAGATGGTCTTGGGCCAGATGGCTTTGGAGGTGGGGGGTATAAAGGGAGGGAGAGCATGAGCCAGGTGTGTGTTGTAGCAGCAAAGACAGAGGGAAGAGTTCACTTATCCCCCTCGATGCTCTCCCTTTGGCCTTCCCTCTCTGACACGAAAGTGCAAGGCATTAACAGATGTGCAATCTGGGAAAGTTTCCAAGTCTGTGTTTTAGAAAGTGGGGCACTTAACCCCACACCAGGGATGACTTTTAGCAAAATGGGGAATGAGGTGATGTTTGTCTTTAATGCCCTTCCCTGTCACCTTTCCAGTTTCCCCTACCCTCTTTCACCTTCTCTCTTTACCTTCTCAAACTCCCAGCTCTTCTACTGCTAACTTTATTGAGTTGGTCATTTCTAACCCCTTTTTCCATGGACGTTAATCAACAAAGCATTTACTGAAAGCTTAAAATGGGCCAGGCACTGTGCTGCTCACTGGGGATAAAAAAGAAGGGAGGAAGGAAGGAAGGAAGGAAACCAACATTTATTAAGTCTACTACCTTCCAGGTGCTGTGCTAGGTGCTTTACAAATATTATCTCATTTGATCCTTATGACAACCCTGGGAGATAGCCATTATTATCCCCATTTTACAATTGAGGAAACTAGGCAAACAGAGGTTAAGTGACTTGCCCAGAGTCACACAGCTAGTTAAGTGTCTAAGGTTAAATCTGAACTCAGGTTTTCTTGACTCCAGGCTCAGGGCTCTAACCACTATGAAACCTAGAGGCCAAAACTGAAAACATGATACTGTGTCCTCAAGAAGCTTCTATTCCATCATAAAAAATGAATATCTGGAGCTCCATGCTCACAGTATCTTATTCCTTGTTATGAAAGGCATTCTATCAGATACATTACTAAAATCTGATGAAATATCCCAATCCAGGTGATCTAGTAATAAGATCATTGAACTGAAAATTGGGAATCTAGGTTCTTATCCTGACTTTGCCATTCACAAGTTCTATCACTTTGAGAAAGTCACATTAACTTAGAAGCAGCATGATATAGTGTAAAGAGGAATGAATTTGAAGCCGGAAGTGTTGGGTTTGAATCCAAGCTCAGCTCCTTACTGCATTTGTGACTTTGGGTAAGTAAATTTACCTATCTCCCAGTGTTCTCCTCTCTAAAATGAAGAGTTTTGACTCTATCACTTCTAAGAACTCATACAACTCTAATTATGGAGAAGCATTAGATGAGATCATGATTATGAAAATGCTTTATTTTTGGAAAACACTATATCATTATATGAATATAAGGAGTTATTATTATTCTAGACATAAAAAGAGAAATTGCCTGTCTTTTCATAGTCTAAATAAAAATTTCTTTTTCAATTAACTCATTTTGATAAAAAACCAAAAGATTTGTGGAAGCAAGGAATATAAAACAAGGGAAGTATTACAGGTAGCGGCAATGGGGTTTTATTTTATTTACTCTTTAATAGCATGAGAAAATATTTTAAAAAATATACATAAAGTATAAATCCTGCCAAAATCATTTTGTCTTAGGAGAAAACAACCAACAGAGTATGGGGGTTGAGAAGGGTTTAAAACTGTTAGAATCATAGAATAATTCTCAAGAAGCCAGAACATTTTCTCTCATTTTACGATCATTTTCAAGTAACACCAAGATCTGCAGAAGAAAAATGGACCTTGGTTAAATACATCTCCAACCTATAAAACTAAAGGTCTTCTGTCTGAAAAGAAACTGAACCAGAAATTCCGCATCCCCATCCAATTAGAAGCCTATACTCATGCATTGATGAGAAATTTTCTGCCAGGAATAGCAGGTCAAATAAAAACCCCACATACCCAGAAATGGATATATTCTTCAAAAGCCCAAGAAAGATACCTTTAATCAGAAAAGGGGGATTTCATTTTCGTTACTGAGGATAATGATGCGAAGTTTCTCTTCAAGCTGTACAGAATAACATACAAAGTAGCCATGGGATCATCCTTTCTGGATACATTAAGCAAACCAGGGAATGGTGGGATTGGGAATAGGGTCCTTCCCCTGGGCTTTGGGTTGTGGTGCAGGACTGTTGAGGACAACAGTATCAGAAGGTTGGAAGGATGATCCATGGCTGCAACATCTCAGTCTAAGAAAGGCTAGAAACAAGAGGTGGGTCATTGAGAGAAAAAAGATCACTTATCCGAGCAGTTAGCAGAAGATAACAAGCAAATAGGAGCCAGAGGCAGGAAGTTAGTCTGGGATTGGAAGAACAAAAGGTCAGTCATGAAAAGGTGATGATATCCAAGGGGGGCAAACTGCAAACATGGTCCAAAGTCAGGCAGTAGTTTAAGAAACCAATGACTGAAACAGGCTTAAGCTTGTGCAAAAGTTCATATAGTAATGACTGATCAGAATTCCAGAGAAACACGATGAAGCATGTTACCCACATCTTGACAGAGAGGTGGCTGTGAGTACAGAATGAGACATGTTTTTTGTACATGGCCAATATGTAAATTTGTTTTGCTTAACTATGCATATTTGTTACAAGGGTTTTGTTTTTATTTGTCCATAATCTGGGGAAGGTGGTGTGAAGGAGAGAAAATAAATTTTTCTTCATTAAAAAAAATTTTTTTAGAAGTTCATATATACCTGGATTCATTCAATGAAGTGAGCATGCATACTAATGTCCTTCAGAACCCAGGTGTTTAGGTGCTAACTGCACACTTGCTCTGAAGAACTTCAGCTGTGGACAGCTTCTAGAGGTGCAAGAGGAAACAGCTTAAAGTGAGTCAGCTTTTTTTTTCTAAGTAAAGAAGACATCACATTCTAAGGTGGATGAAAGATGACAGTTTTATTATAATTTTTTTCTGTACATAAAATAAAATGTGCTTTGGAAGATTTTTCTGTTGACCTAGTGATTCAAAGGTGTGTGTGTGTGTGTGTGTGTGTCCAAGTTTATGAAAGTATGTAGGAGTGGTCAGGCAATCCAAACCTGTAATTCTATTAGGATATGGGATTCTCATTGTGGAAGACACCACATTGCCAAGACAGATCAACAACTCATTTGTAAGTTACAGTCTTATGTGTAGTTGATGTATTGGTTGTTTTTGCTAAACTTCTTTTTCTTTCTTTTTATCTTTGTTAAAAGGGACACCTCTTGGCTAGAGGAGGAAGGGTTTATTTGAAAATGAAGATGATGTCAAAACAAAATACAGCAATAATTTTTTTTAGAATAACCAAAAAAAGCCTACCCATCTTGGAGAATTGCTTGGGACATGGAGAGGTTAAATGTCTTGCTCATGGTCACACAGCTAATATGTGTTAGATGTTAGGAGCTTTGACTTTGTTATCTTCTTCTGGTTTTATGTTTCGATCTTCTTTGTCACCAAAGAAAGATTTTATGGTCTGACTTTTTTTTTCAAAGTTTTCTCATGATCCCAGTCAAATACTTGAGTTATAAACTCTTTCTTAAGGTAGGGGTCTGCTTCCAGTATGGAGGGTGTACTGTATCAAGCTTCGGGAGTTTTGTGCAGCTGTTTTCAGAGATACTTCTAGGGACCTGTAAATTTTCAGTTCTTCCAAGGTGGTATGATAAGGGGCGAGGTGTTTACTCCCTTCCTGGCCTGTGCTCTGGTCTATGAGTGACCACAAGCACTCTTTTCTGCCTTGGAACTGTGAGGAGGATTTTCTCTTTACTACCACTACAAGCTCCACCACGCCAGCACTCCTCCTCACCCCAAGACCACCACCTAGAACTGTGACCCAGATCCAAGCACAGGCAAAGCAAGAGAATCCTGCACCAGCAAAGAAATCCCTATAATCCTCTCTGGTCAGCCACTTGATTCCCCATCAGTCTGTGGGCAGGAAGCTCAGGAAGCAGCCACCACGCTGGGACTACACACAAGGACTGGGGCTAAGACCAAGCTTCCCTCTCACCATGGTCACAGACTTTTCATATTGACCTTCTAAGTTGTCTTTGGTGTTTGTGGGTTGAGAAGTCTGGAAACTGCCACAGCTGCCATGATTCAGTCCTCTGAGGGCTGCTCCTGGTTTGCTGAGGCCTGGTTTGCCTGCATGCCCATGCTGAACTGTGTTCCTCTTGGCTCCACCCCTAAATAAACACTAACATGTGTTAGAAACAAGATCTGAGACTAGCTCCTCCTGACTCTAAATCCAATGTATTATCTACTACAGCAAGCTTCTTCTCAGCAGAATTAATAGTAAAGTAAAATATTCTGACCAGGAAGCCTAGTAGATATTAAATTCTAATTCAATTAAATTCTAACATAATAATTTCAGGCATCACTGACAATAAGAAGTTGGAGGAAATTATACAATTATCCTTTATATTTGTGTGATATTGTATTTTTCTCATAGTTCATTTATATCCATTATTTCATTTAATTCTATCAATACCCCCTGTGTTAGATGGGGCATGGATCATTCCAATTTTACAGATGAGGAAAGCAGACCAAGAGAGTTGAAGTGACTTGCTATAGGAAAGGTTTCCTAATGGTTACAGCTGTCCAAATCTTACAAAGTGAGCCCCTCCTCGCTGGAGGTCTTTGTCATTGCCACTGAAAAGGGCATGATAATCTCCCTTATGACTCCACTTGCAATCCCTTGAATAGTCAGAATCACAGCTCCCTTTCTTGGTCATGTGTTGCATCCCCTTAGAAGAATATACTCCCTTTCAAAGAAAAAACTGCTTCACTTTTATATTTGTGTTCCCCAGTACCTTCCTTGCCCACTGCCTGGCAACTCACTTTCAGGCACTTCATAAATACTTGTTGACAAGTCATGTAGCTCTTTAGTGGTAGAGCCATAACTGGATGCCAGGCTGCTGGATTCCCCAACCAGATCTTCTGTTTGAATACCTGAGGGTAATGAATTAATGATATTCAGAAAGGACCTTCACCAAGACACAAATTCATTTCTTACTACTGCCCCCAAACAAACCATTTACTCTCCCAAAACCAGCTCTTATGGCATTCCCTAAATAAACCATGCTCATTCTCACCTCTGTGTCTGCATATCTGCTATGTAGAATACACTTTTCTCTACCTGCCCAAATCTTACCTATTCTTCAAGACCCATCTCTAATGCTACCTCTTCCACGAAGCCTACCTTGCTCTCCCCTGCTACGTTGTCATCATGATCATCATCATTGTCATTGTCATCACAGGCATCATCACTAGCATTTATATAGCACTTTAAGGTTTTCAAAGTGCTTTACATGTGTTATTTCACTTAATCTTCAAAACAGCCCTGGGAGGCAGATATGGTATCTTTATTCTCCAGATGAGGAAGTGAGGTTAAGAGAGGCCAAATTATTTACCTTAAACAGGCTCACATAGCTGGTGTCTGAGGCAGTATTCAAACTCAGGTCTTTCTGACTCCCAGCCCATTTCTCTATCTATGTTATTGTTATTGTTCCGTCATTTAGTTGTGTCTTCAAGACCCCTGGACCATACTGTCCATGGGTTTTTCTTGGCAAAGATACTGGAATGGTTTACTATTGTCTTCTGCAGTGGATTAAGGAAAACAGAGGTTAAGTGACTTGCCCATGGTTACACAGGTTACTACTAAGTGTTTGAGGCTGGATTTGAACTCAGGTCTCTATCCATACTGTTACCTATATATGGCCTCTCCCTACTCTGAACACCTATAGTTTTTTTTCTTTCCTCCTCTTTTTTTGTCCCTTACTACTTTCTACCAACTATTAGAATTACTTGTGTACTTGTACAATCTTCTACCCCACTACCAGTAAGATTTATGCTCCTTTAGGGCAGAGATTGAGCCTACCCATTTTGTACCCTAGCCTAATTTTGCACACAACAAGTGTTAAATATTTAACACAATTTTCTATGTCTTATTCTAAAGGAAAATGCTCACTGTACCAGGGGACACTCCCTTTCCTGGCTCACCATCACTGTAGTGTTCTTTCTGCTTCCTTCTAACTTATTGACATTACTTCCGTTTTAGAAATATCTCTAACCAATCTTTGTTACTGTTGTATATTTTAAGGCAATATAGCATAATGTTTGAGCATTTGGAGACTGGTGTTCAGATTCTAGCTCTATAAGGTGCTGTTTGTATGACCTTGTGTGGGGCAGCCAGGTGGCACAGTGGAGTGCCAGGCCTGGAGTCAGGAAGACTTGAGTTCAAATCCAGTGTCAGGCACTTCTAATTGTTTGATCCTGGACAAGTCATTTAACCCTGTTTGCCTCAGTTTCCTCATCTGTCAAATGAGCTGGAGAAGAAAATGGCAAACCACTCCAGTACCTTTGCCAAGAAAATCCCAAATGGGGTCACAAAGAGTTGTTCTGACTGAATAACAATAACCCTGTGTATGCTTCCCCTCCTTCAGCCTAAGTTTCCTCATCTGTAAGATAAGGAACTTGAACTAAATGTTCTTTTAGATCCCTTCCAGATCTAAATTCTGTGAGGTTGTATTTTCGTGGATACTCCCTCCATTGACCCCACATCCTCATCCCCTCATTTGAGGAACTTCTTGAATTGCTAAAACAAAATACTCATTATTTTTTTAGTAACATCACTCATAACAAACCTCTCTCAGCACTTAGCTAGCCCGATCTTTGAAAGACAGACATATAGCCCATCACCAATTCTAGTACTTCTAGCCTGTCTGGGTTGGTGGGACCTGCCCGAGCTGATGTTCTACTGGCAAAGTCTTTGAGAACTCAGGGTTCACTGCCATGGCATCACAAAGAATCTGTGGGGGACTATAATGGAGGAGACTGGAATGGCCCTCACTAGGAAAATTAAAATCTCCCACCTACCATGTACAACTTGGCATCATTTACACATGCAGATTAAAACTTCTCATGGATAATATTTGAGTTTTACACTTTCTAGTTTTAATTAGAAATGTTAATTAAACACATATGTTAAAGTGAGGGAAAAAATAGGTCCTGAAGAACTGGTTATACCTTAAGCAGTTTATTGTCTAATTCAGAACAATCATAAATGCTGTGGCAAATAGATTTCTTAGGAATTGCTAATGAACATGCAGGGACCTTGCTTTTGTACGATCCTGAGGACCCATGCTATGGGACCACCTTATCATAGAGGAACCTGCCTTATAATGAGCATCTCGGCACATTCATAAAATAACTGAACCCCCCTGAGATGGAGCCCATGACAGCCATGCCTTGGATTGAATTCTGCTCTGTAGTGAATAGAGTCAGAGCAAGAATCCATTATATGTAAACAGATGAGAGGCTAATAAAATTTAAATGGGATGGGAAATGTGCCTCCTTGGATATTCTACATTTCCATTCTAAGTGGACATAGTCAATTATTACTTATCTTGGCATTTAATTGGGTGATTTTTTCCAGCTTTGTTATGGCCCCAATCTTTATTAGATACTGACTTCCCAGTTATGATTCTAGTGGGGAAACTAATATCTCATCAATTTTGGTTGCTGATTTTTTGTTTGTTTTGTTTCCTCCAAGTTTTCCTAAAAACTCTGCCCTGAATTTCTATGCCCAGAACTGGACAGATTGGGGGTAATGTCTTAAGAAGTCAGAGCCAAGTCATATGATCTGTGCCTTATTGCCTGAAATTTCAACAGGCACCAGGATTAGAAAAACTGAACCAATAAGCTTGGAGTTTTTCCATGGAACAAAGAGTGTGGCCTTTCATCATTGTGATAGCTGCACCCTCTGGCCCTCTCAGGTCCTAATGCCAATCCAGTAATGCCAATCCAGTAATCCAGAATGACAAAAGCATTCATAGGAGCAGAAGGAGGACTCTCTGCTGGAGTGTGCCTAGAGGAGGCTGACCAGAACCTTGAGATCAGTGCATGTCATATGAGGATTGCTAAAAATGAGGATTACATATGAAAATTAATGAAGTTTACCTTGTAGAAGAGAAGACTAAGGGGGAGGGGAGCCTCTGGGGTGTGCTGGTAAATGTTTAATTACAGGTTCTCCAAAAAACAGCCAATGCCTACTTTTAAGTTAAATCTGTATTATTAGTATTCTCTCCATCACTTTCCTAAATCTAGACAATCAACAAAACAATATATCAAGTCCTGATTCATAGCATTTCTGAAGTATAAATGCTCACACTGAAGATCTAACAAAGCTGTACCAGCTGGTTTGAGGTGGTTCCTACACACCCCTGGGGAAGAGGAACTTCTTTCAAATATTTAAAGAGCTGTCATTTGGACATGGGGCTAGATATTCTAGCTAACACAAAAGAACTGTGGTGGAAGTTGCAGAAAAACTGATTTCAATAGATATAACATTTGTTAAGCGTGTTCCAGGCAGTTCATTGAGCAGATAAAAATATAAGCAAACAAAACAGTTCCTGCCCATAAGGAGCTTTCAATCCAATGGAGAAAGCCAACATATAAAGGAGTGCTTGAAAGATGGAGGAAGGGATTCTTACAGGCTGGTGTAGAGGATGGTGGAGGAGTGGCATGCAGGCCTGGTTCCCAGCAAGAAGATACAAAAGATCAGTGCCAGCAGGATGCAAGAGGAGAGTCAAAGGTCTTGATGGTAAGAAGATAATAATGATTTCCAGAGAGAGAAAAAACATGGTGCAAAGATGACTGGGAAGATTTAAGCTTGATGTCAGAAACATTTTCTAAAAATTTCAAGTATCTAAAAGTGAAGTGGTATACCTCATGTAATAATGAGGTTCCTGCATCACTGGAGGTCTTCAAGTAGAGGCTGAATGGGTGCTTGTTGGGGATGCTGTAAGAAGACAATCTTACTTAGGCATGAGCTAGACTATATAACCCCAGAGTCTTTTTCCTTCTTCTGTATTACTTAAAGACTCCCCAGACTTGGTCCAGATGTATGTATCCCTCTATCTGAAGTTGAAGTAAAGGTGGCAGAATCATAGGTTTTTGGGCACAGACATCAGGGAATCTAGCCAACAAGGTCACCATGGCCAGATGCCTTCAATACATTTCCAGGCTGTACTGAACAAAAAGACAAATAACACCTAGTCAGATTGAGACTTACAAATAATAAAACCCTTCTTGTATTTGTTGAGCCTCTCTCATGCTTGGTAATAACATAAAGCAAATATCAGTAACGCAGGGGGGAATTAATGCAAGAAAAACCACGGATGTGCTTTGGTGTAATTAAGCAATTTAATTAAAGTCCACTTGTTGCAGCCACATGATAGAAAGGATACTCCCCCCCACCCCTACAGTGAAGAGGGAGAATCAGAAGTTTACCTGGTATCAGACACAGCTGCTGGAATCTTGATATCTTCTGTCTTCTATCACTCCAGCCTGTTTGGCCTCAGCAATGTTTGTTTGTCTAAAAGCTGGGTAAGTCTTTACCAAATCAATTGGAAATTTGGTCCATGGTAGAATTGTGTCTTTGTCTCAGATAGTCATCTATCTCAGCCCCTTCTGGATCAACTGGTAAGTCAAGAGAAAAAGAGGGGAAGGGAATAAGTATCTAAAGCACCTACTATGTGCTCAATGCTTTTCTCCAAATACTGTCTCATTTGATCCTCACAATAACCCTGAGAAGTAGGTGCTGTTGTCATCACCATTTTACAGTTAAGAAAACTGAGACAGAGAGATTAAGTGGTTTGCTCAGGGTCACACAGCCAGTGAGTATCTGAGGCTATATTTGAGCTCAGGTCTTCTTAACTCCAGGCCCAGTGCTCTATCTGCTGTGTGAACTATCTTTCCTGCTAAAGTCCTCTGGTTTCACACACCAGAGTTGGAGTGCAGGCATGGCTCAAAATAAATAAGCAGTAAATAAAAGACACATTCCAAACCAGCAAATTAGAGAGAGACATCTGATGTTGTAGACAGGTTAGCAGGGCTAGGCAGAAGAAAAGAGAAGAATCTGGAGGGAAGTGTTTGGGAAGCAAGGTCAGGAATGAGAATGGACACAGGCAGGAAGAACTCTGAAAGATCTCTCACAGGTTAGAAAAGGGTAGTGCCAAGAAGCAGACGAGGGAGCTGGCGGCTAGTCTAGAGCACAGCTGTGGCAGCCAGGAGACATAGGTGGTGCTTGGAGTCAGAGAAGGTCATGGCCAGAGGGTGGCACAGTAGATAATCAAAGTTAGGTAGAACATAAATCAGGACAACAGGAAGGCATGAGAAGTAGATGAAATCAGGAGGGGGGCAAGGTACAAGTCGGGCAGAAGATTCAGAACTGTAAGGGAACTTCAGAAGTTATTTTACCCAAACTCCTCTCTTTATAGACATGGAAATTAAGACCCAGACAGGGGAGGGACTTGCTCAAAGTTGACTCTGATCAAGGTCCTGTGTAACCTCTGACATAGGCACATAATAAGAGAATAAGGAAGGGTCTGGGTGATATTCTGAAGGATGCAGCTGTCTCCAACCTTGTGGAAGTCATTACTGCCTAGCCATTTGGTATGTACTTTGTCTAAGACATCAGGTAGTTCTCAGTACATCTCCATAATAGTACTAAAAATTCACATTTGCATGATGCTTTATGATTTGCACAATACTTTCTTCACAGCAATTCTATGAAGAGTGAGACTGGGGGGGGTCCAGCATGTGGATCAGCTGTGTGGCTACCCATGCTGTCATCCTACACTCTATGCATGCCAGTGGAAGTAGTAGTAAAGGCATTATTTTCTTCATTTCACATGTTATGAAATTAAATCTCTTAGAGATTAAATGCCTTGTCAAGAATAATAGAGCTATCAAATATTTTCAGGGAGTGGGGGAAGGGAAGGAGGGAGAAAAGGAACTCAAACCCAGGCCTCCTGACTGAGTCCAATGTTCTATCTAACCCACCACACTCTCTCAATACAATTCAATTCAACAAGGATTTATTAAGCACTCAGGTACCAGGCACTGTATGAAAGGCTGGGGAAACAAGGACAAAATCAAAAACAGGTCTTGCCCTTCAAAGTGATATTGAGCATAGAGGACCCATACATAGAGGGAAAGCCACTGAGGAAAGCTCATGTAGCAATGGGACATGTAATACGACCTGATAATGCTCTGAAATAAGAATGTCTCACTTGAGTCTTTTACCTTTCCTCTTTCCAACAAATAGTTCAGCATCTAGAGTAGAGTAAGCCAACCTAAACACTAGTCAGTTAGTAAACTTTTTTAAAAATTTTATTATTTTTTTCTTGCTAGGCAATTGGGGTTAAGCGAGACTTGTCCAGGGTCACACAGCTAGTGAGTATCATGTGTCTGAGCCTGAATTTGAACTAAGGCCCTCCTGCCTCCATAGCCATTGCTCTATCCACTCAGTTAATAAACATTTATTAAGCACCTGCCATGTGCCAGACACCGTGCTAAGTTCTGGGGATATAAAGAGAAGCGAAAGACAGTCTCTGACCTTGAGGAGCTCACTGTTGAATGGAGGAGATAACCTGTAAACATTGTTATATTCAAGATACGTAGGAGATTATTAACAGAAGAAAAGGGCTACAATTAAGAGGGATGGGAAAGTCTTATAGAAGGGGAGATTTTAGTTGGTACTTCATCTCAGAGGCTTGGGTTCTTGTTCCTTCTGTATGCTTCCTATGGGCAGCCTCAAGCTGGAGAGATGCTGGTACCCTCCTTAGAACTATTTACAGCAGCTGTTGCATTCCTGCACTGGAAATCGACTCCCAGCTCCTCTTGATTATGGTCAATCGTCACTACCTGTATAACTGGGAAAGTCACTTGAACTCTCAGGTCCTCCATTTCCTCATCTGTAAAATGATGAGGTTGAACCAGAATACTTCTAAGATCCCTTTCAGCTCTAAATGTATGCTCATCCTATTTTGTGTGCCTATTTTTCTGTGCCCAGGGACCTAGATTCTAACACTGCTTGGCTATAATTTCTTTTCTCACTACAAAAATCCTAGAAGGAGTCAAGAGACTTGGATCTTTGTCTTTGCTCTGCCTCTGACCTTGGGCAGCTGACTTTCTTTGTCTGAGATCATTTCCTTCTGTAAAATAAGATTGATACTAAATGATCTCAAAGCTTCCTTCTAGCAGCATATATTCCATTTTGAGTGCTAGGTCACTGTGCTTTTTTAGGATTTTGCATACTTAATGGGCATTCTTGATGGCATGGGCTCAGAGGGATCCAAGATGGTGGGTAAGCTAGGGCTGAAGTGGGAAACTAGTCTTCACCTGTCTGTTGACACCTCTTACCATGGCTTACATTTACACAGTGGAGTTCAGCCAGAGTTACAGTGAAATCCCATATATTTTATTTTCCTTTAAAGAGCCAGTCCCAACTATAAAAATATCAGGAGAAATAGCACTTATCTCCCAGGGTTGTTGAGAGGATCAAATGAAATAATATTTGTAACATGCTTAGCACAGTGCCTGGTATGGAGTAGATGATTAATAAATAATTGTTTCCTTCTTTTATTGTTCACAAACATTCTCATCTCCATGATCCCATTTGATCCTCAAAATAATATAGGCACATAGTCAGATAGGTATATTGAGGTGTTGTTTTTTTTTTACCCTCCATTTACAGATGAGTAATTTGATGCCCAGAGATGTTAAGGTGAATACTTATCTCATTTCACTAGGAAAGATTAGGGCTGGACTCAGACTTGGGTTTCTTCTGCTTTCCAGTCTAATGCTCTCTCTGCTGTACAATCCTGCCTCTTGGCTTTACAATTTTCTCCAGGGAAAGCCCAGAAGCTTGATATTTAATTAATAGGGTTATGACACAAGCTGGAGAAATTCAGAGCTAAGGTTAGAAAGATCATAATGCATGCCATTGAGTTGTATGAATATGTATGTGTTTATGTGATGTTAGGGGAAGGCAAGGGAAAGCTTTTGTTTCCAAAGAAATGGGAGTTAACAAGGAGGTTGGGTGTGCCTTTATTTTTCTTTTTGTCAATGCCCTGGTGTTTGTCAGGTCATATCACAACTAATCCCATTGCTACAAGAGCTTCAAATAAATTTCAGTCATCATAGTATAGGAAAGAGTGCTGTGTCCCTGGGAGTCAGAAGACCTGGATTCAAATTTCTTGTTTAAGCTATTGCAATCTCTCTGAGCCTTATTTCCATCAGTAAAATAAGGTTGTTGAGCTGAATGAACTTTAAGATGTTTTCTAGTTCTAAATCTCTGACCCTATATACTTAGTTTCTACGTGGTACATTAGCCAAATAGAAAATGAATGCAAATGATCCCAAGCACCTCAATGGTTAATGTAGCAGTCACAAATAATCTTTGAAAGTCACCCCAAAGCTGGGGGTATGGGGGGAACAGACAAGAGAAACATTTTTCACGAAGATTTTGGGAAGATTGAATATATGGGTATAAAAATCTCAGAGTTGAAAGGGAGAAGTTTTGGCCACAAATCTTTGAAGGCTAGTATCCATTTGGCAGGGTGCCATAATCCAGGCAAGCATTTTTGCCTTGAGACCCTAGGTGAAAGGCAAACTGAAAGCTTGCACTGCCTTCAGCCAGGGAGGCCTGCAGACTGCTTTTCTGTGTGCAGCCAAAAGACCATTTAGCTGCGAATGGGTTTTTTAACCACCCGAAATGGTTATGACTACACCATTTGATTGAATTTGGGCTTGTTAGTTCTAAGGAGCCTTTAAAAAATAGAGTATTATGGAAAGGCATGCAACTGTGCAGAGCCTTTCTGATGTAACTGTACATCTCCTGGTACATTCATCCAATGGCATTTAAGGCTCATTAAATTTTGAATCCCATGTCACCTGCCTTTGGCTTAAAATAGTTTTGTATGTGCCTTTTGTCTCTTGAAATCCATTTTAATGGAAATTGTGTCTATTCACCTCTCTGTTCTCTTTCTTTTGCTATCAACACTGCTCTTCAGTAGCTCCAAACATAGAATTATTCATCATAAGAATTCCGTGTCATTACCAGGAATGTTTCAGGCTTTAGCTGATGTAAACATCTGATAGTTAAAAATTCAGGGAGCTCCATCCAAAGCCTTCCTCCCCTTTTTTCTTTGACTGCAGAAGATGAGTCTTTTCTGACCACTGACTGACTCACTCAGGCTCCACACCTTGCCCCTACCACACTTCCAATTTTCTTTTCCGTCAATCACATCACCAAGTGGTGTCTCATCCCAGCATGATTCCCAGTTCATTTAAGTGAATTTGAAGCGGATCCAATGGGAGCCCTCCTTCCTGAAAATAAGAAACATACCTGTTCCACAATGACAACGGACTTCACCTGGAGCTTTGGGGAAAGACTTTGCTTACAGTTGGTGGCACCAATATTTTACAAATGTCAGCCCTGGGGTAGACTTGATGGCTATAAAGGTTTGCTGCTTTACAACGCAAATCATCTTTTCCTCTCATAATAACTGTTAAGTTTCCTCAAAGCTTATGTGCCTCAAAGCTAACTTTGCAATAAGGTAACACCTGCAAAGTATTAAGTTAGGGCAGAAGCTGTAAGATGCAGCACAAGAAATGTCAGTTCTCATTAGGCAGCATATATATCTGCCTGCACAGTAAGTGGCTTAGAGACCAACAAGGAAAATGGCAGAGAGTTTGCTTGGGCTTATGTGGTTCATACAAAGAACTTCTTCCACAATGGGCATCTTCCTCTGGGGTGCTTGCTTTCTCGCTTTTGGAACTGGGAAGGGTTTGTGTGAAATATTCTGGGTGGAAGAAACTGGAAAGTGTTTTTTTTCTACCTCCTTGGTAGGAGGCTCAGCTAATTGTTTGCTGACACAGCTGAACAGTCATAAAATGTCATAAAGAGTAAATGACTTGATAATGTAAAACAGTAATTAGGATGGGGCGCATGCTTATGCTATTTACATATTTTAACACTTTGATATTAACATGTCATCCCTAATAGTACATAAATGAACCATCCTTTGTGCAATTTATCCTGCTCTGCATGAGACAGGCAGCCCCTTGAAGGAATTATATGTTTTCTTCCTTCTCCTCACTAGGCATCATCTTCCCCAAAATCTAGCCTGGGAGCAGAAGATCTCAGATCTGTGTTGGAGGGAGGCTTAGAGATCATCGAATCCAGCCTTCTCCCTCAAACCTAGAGAACTAAAGTGCTTCCACCAAGATCACACAGGCAATAATGAGCAGAAGTGAGATTTGAGTCCAGGTCCTGGAACTCCAAATCCAGTAAATTGTTCTATTTCCTACCTGTCTTCTAGGTTTGTCCCACCTGTAGGCAGAGCTAAGGGGCTCTCCCATTCCCCAGCAGAGCCCTGGGCTATGGTGCTTTGGGAAAAGGTGAGGAGGGAGATAGTACATTGGAGAGCTCACCATGGTCTGACCAGAGGGAGAGGCACAGTCCAAAGAGGGAATTAGTTATTGTGCTCTCACTGGACTCTATTGATATAAGCTAACCTCACCTGTTGAGAAACGTGAGGTCTATCCCTGTACAGATACTATTCTAGATGTGATTTCCAACTCTACAGGAGTTTTGTTGTTTTTCAGTCATTTCAGTCATGTAGACTCTCCATGACCCCATTTGGTATTTTCTTTGCAGAGATACTGGGATGGTTTACCATTTCCTTCTCCAGCTCATTTGCTAGATGAAGAAACTGAGGCAAACAGGGTTAAGTGACTTGCCCAGGATCACATAGCTAGTAAGTGTGTGAGGCTAGATTTGAACTCATTTCCTCCTGACTTTAGGCCTGGCATTCTATCCACCTAGCTGCCTACAGGAATTTAGGTTTCAATTTTACTCAACATATACCAGTAGTGAAGTATTATTTTTATACTAATTAATTCATACTAATTAAATCCATACTAATGAAGTATTAGAAATGGAAGTGGCTTTAGGATCATATAGAACAAACTCCTTATTCATAGATAGAAGTCAGAGTGGAGCCATGGAAGGAATCCTGGCCTCTGGAATTAAAAAGTCCCACCTCTTTAACTATTTATACAATTTTTGGCAAGTTACTTAACCTTCCAGGGCTCCAGTTCCCCATCTGTAAAATGAGGGGGATGGGCTAGATGTTCTCTGAGGTTTCTTTCAGCCCTGGATTTATGTTCCTTGGGGCTTGTACGTAGTAAGTATGCGACAAATATTTTTTGAATGAATACACTTTACAGATGAGGAAACTGAGGCCCAAAGAGGAGAAGTAACTTACTTGAGGTCACACTTCAAGTTGATATAAACCAGACCAGAACCAAGTTCTTCTAAATTCCAATCCAAGGTGGGTTTTTTTTTTCATGACGTTCCCCCTTTTGCTCTTCTACTTCCTCCTTTGTATCTTGTCCCAGAGTAGTTCCAGCCTTCCAAATCTGGTACCTATTGTTATCTTCCATGTGTATGAAATGTGCTCCAGTTACCAGCCAGGCTGGTGCATCCTGATGCAGCTCATTCAGCTTATTCTGAGCAAGCGGGTGGGCGCCACGATCCACAGGGGGGAGTGGGAGGGTGTGTGCTAGGGGTGGAGGAGAGGGTTATTCAGGATCACAGAGTACAATGCTGAGGCTGTTGCCAGGCAACCAAAGGGAGCCATGTCAGGAAGCAACCCCAGGTGCAAATAGATAAACAGGAGCAATGAGGACAACAGAAAGTGTCAGGTGAGGGGGGAGTGGAGCCTGATGGAGCCAGATGCAATGCTAGAGACCCTGCTCTCCCTACAAAGCATTCCTCAAAGCTGGAAATGGGAAAATATGTGTTAAGCTGCTATCTCCGAGAGCAGGCTAGGAGAATGTTTTGGAAGGGTCTGAGTGTGCCCAGCCTCAGCTGCTGGGAATCCAAGGGGCTCCTACGAATAACTGAACAAAGCATCTCTGCAGTTGGCCTTCTACCATGTCTGTATTTCCCACTCTTGGAGTTCTGTTCCTGAGGATCAAGCGCTGCTTCTCCAGGACCCTCGGATAAAATGTAGCAGCCTCCAGGCTAGGTAATCCGTTCAGCCTTCACCCCATGAGCATTAAAATACAGGTTAATGACTCACAATGTCACCTGTTCTTCAGCAGCACCTGATCATAGCATGGAGGTGACCCTGGGTTCTGGAAAGCTATGCCAATACCAGGAGATGCCTTGGGGGCCACTGAGAGCAAAAGGAAACGGCTGGCTGGTTTGGCTATTAAGCACCTAGCATAGGCCCTTGCACAGGGGAAGAACTAATAAATGTGAATTGAATCAAATTCATTGGATTCTATTATGTGATACTATCTGAGCAAAAATACCCCATAGTAATTCCCATGTGTCATTGCCATCAGCCAGAATCTTTCATTAATTCATTCAACAAACATTTATTAAAGGCCTACAATGTGCAAAGCCTGAAATAATCAGGCACGACCTACGTAGAATATCAGGATACACCCCAAGCTAGAGCATCAGTCCAACCTTCACGGATGACAGAAGCTGTTGCCCAGTAAGTAAAATGGGGGAGATGGCACAGATGGCCTCAGGAGTCTCTTCCAGCTCTAGGTCTAAGATTATATTATCCTATTATCTTATGACTTTGTCTCCAAGAAATTAGAGTAAGCTCCCTGAGTATGGAGACTCTTTCACTTTTGTCTTTCTCTTTCTCAGTGCTTAGTACAGCACATAGAACATGGTAGGTACTTAATAAATGCTTATGGCTTGATTGGCTGATTAAAGAAATCACTCTCTAGAATTTGGGGCTGATGTGCAGATACCATGTAGCTCTTGCCAGAGAAAATGCATGTTAGAGGGAAAGGAACCTCAGGAAGCCAGAGGTAGAGATCCTCAGAACGTTAGGTCTTCATAGAAAAGAAGCTAGACTGTCTAGGAGAAGAAACCCTGTGCTAAGATACGTGGCACCTGGCTTATAGTCCTTGCTCTGCTATAATAAACAGTGCAGCTTTTACCCACTCTCCCTTTTCTATGACTCAGTTGTCTCATCTATTAAATGAAGATGGTGATACCCACCCATCTATCTCCTAGGGTTGTTGTTAGAATCATAGATACAGAATAGCATACTAGGCAGAGTGTTAGACTTGAAAGCAAGAAAAACTAGATTAATATTTTACCTCTGATACTAACTGTGGGATCATGGGCAAATCATCTAACCTTCATGAGTTTCACTTGTTTCACCTGTAAAAGACAGGCAGTTGTGGTGTAGTGGATAGAAAGGAAAGGAGAGACCTGTGTTCAAATTCTGTCTCTGACATGTATTGGCTTTGCCCCAGGCTGCTCTCTAAAATCCTAAAATTGAAAAGCAGGTTTAATCTACATTGGCCAAAGGAGTCCCTTTATCAAGTACTTCTCATGCCAATGAAATCAAAGGTCCCATCCCCCTTCAGAAATAAAGCTGATAATACCTGTAAGCACCTTACTGGGTTGTTTGTGAGGCTCAGATGAGGTAATATTAGTGCTGAATATAAAATGCTTTGTAAATTTTAAGGCATTATATAAGCATTATTCTTTTTATTAGAACCGAATGGACCTTAAAAATCATGGCAGTTCAATCAATCTTTTCATTTTACAAATGTGAAAGCTAAAGCTTCCAAAAAGAAGGGACTTAATTAACCAATGGCACATAAGAGGTTAGAGAAAAACCAGGTTTCCTGACTCTCTCACTCACTCAGGCCAGGCCTTTTCTACCACCCCAGAATGCCTAGGCATGAAGGCTCTTGAGAAGCTGGGGCATGAGTAGGGAGGGAGGTGGGAGAGAGTTCTAAGAAAAAGAAAAGACTTGGATCAATCTTTAAAGAGCATAAAAGGGATGGTTTCAGAGAAATTTAGGAAAACTTGTATGAACTAATATTGAGTTAAATGAGCAGAACCAAAAGAATAATTTAAAACATACAACATTGTAAACACAAATGATGTTGAAAGACTTATAGGCTCTGATCAGTGCAATAACCATCCATGATTCCAAAAAACTGATAAGGAAGCATGTTATCCACCTCCTGTCATAGACAGATGGATTCAGTGCCAAATGAAGCATCTTTTTGGATATGGCCAATTTGGGGTCTTGTTCTGCTTGACTACATATATTTGTTGCAAGATTTTTGTTGCTGTTGTGGTTGTTTTCCTTTTTTCTTTCTTTTTTTTTTAATGGAGAGCAGTCAGAGGAAGAGAAAATAATTGTTTGTTAATTAGAAAAATAAAATAAAAAACAAAACAAAAAGCAAAGGACACATGAGACTTAAATGGTAGCAACCTCAGCAGCAAGCAGCATGTATGTACTGCTCTAACATCAGGTGTGCGGGATTCCTTGAACACTCCTACACATTATGTGCAAATAAGCTTCATTGACCTTTCATCTCCCACCACTCCACCCCCTCCCTACTCCTCCAAGGAGCCCACTGAAGGTGGGCTGGGTGAAAGAAGTGGAGGAGAAAAAATTATGCTGACGTCATGTGGGTCCCTGAAGTTCCAAGGGGTCACTCGGCTGAACAGATGGTGGGCAGATATTGGTTTTAACTTGCACATGGTTGAGTAAATAATGTTTAAGTTTTCCTTGTGTGCCTGGGGAGCCGAGCAGATCTCCATGCGTGGAAATGCCTGGGCCTCCCGCCCGCATCATCTGCTGCTCCCCCGTCTTTCATTTCCTGCGCTGTTTGTATTTTAGAGCATGGCTCGCTGGGCAGGAAGCTGGTGCCCTTGGATCTGGAGAAGTTTGTGTGGAAAAGGTAGGACAAGAAAGAAGGAGGAAGAGAGCAGGAGAGGGAGAGAGCTTATGAGCTTTTTGTAAGACTGTGCAACTTCCCAATCTAAACAGCGCATACCCTTCAGGCTGAACCATAGTCAAAGGAAATACTGTCACATTCTTCATTGGATTTGGAGCCAGACAGAAGGATCATCTTTATTTGTGATTAAAAGTAAGCACCAACGACACACATCTCAGAGCCTAGCCTGCCAGAGGAGATATTTCCCTTTGCTCCGAAGTGCTTTTGTTCCTTGAGGAAACGGACTATTGGCTTTTGTTTCTGAATCTCCAGAGCCTAGCACTGTGCCCAACACATTCAGCTAGCTATTGCAGTGGATACAGCTCTGGATTGGAGTCAGGAAAACCTGAATTCAAATCCAGTCTCAGATGCTTACTGAGTAAAATCACTGTCTGCCTCAGTTTTCTTAACTGTAAAATGGGGGTCATAATAGCATGTACATTCCAGAGTTGTTGTGAGGATCAAATGAGATAGTTATTTGTAAAGTGCTTAACATAGTCCTGGCACATAGTAAGTCCTTAATGCTTGTTCCCTTCCTCTCTTCAATGCTGAATTTAAGAAAGAAGGCCACTTATTGCCTCCTCCAAAAAATCAAGGGGAGGGGAGATGAATTAGATGATCTCTGGAGTCAATTCAATTCAATGTAACAAGCATTTATTAAGTACCTACTGTGTACTAGAGGGGCAGCTGGGTGGTCCAGTGGATAGAGTGCCAGGCCTGAAGTCAGGAAGATTCATCTTCCCAAGTTCAAATCCAACCTCAGACACTTACTAGCTGTGTGATTCTAAGTAAATCACTTAACCCGGTTTGCCTCAGTTTCCTCATTGGTAAAATGAACTGGAGAAGGAAACGGCAAACCACTACAGTGTTTTTGCCAAGAAAACCCCAAATGGGGTCACAAAGAGTTGGACATGACTGATCAAAAACAACTATGGACTAGGCACTGGAGATACAGTGGCAAAAATGAAAGATGGCCTCCCAGAGAACTTCTGTTCTACTGAGAGTAGGAGAAAGCATATTCCACAAGTAAATGAAGTCAATACAAAGTAATTTGGGGTGAGGGGGAAGGAACTAGCAACTGAGAAAGGCAGGAAAGGCCTCATCTAGGAAGTAGCACTTCCTGAGGGGAAGCTATAGATTCTAAGAGACAGAGTTGAAGAGAATGTGCATTCCAGGCATGGTGGATTGCTTTTGCAAAGTCATGGAGACAGGACACGAATATAGGGAACTATAGGTCAGAGAGTTTAGCTGGAACATAGAATTCATTAAGAGGAGCACTGTGTAATAAGTTGGAAAAGATAGGCCGGAGCCCTATTGTAAAGGGCTTTCAATGTCAAAGAGCAGAGTTGGTATTTTATCTTAGAGCAACTGGGAGCCACTGAAGCTTCATGAGCAAGAGAGTAGCATGGTAATATCTAAGCTTTGTCATGTCGGCAGGTATGTGAGGAGTACCTTGGAGGGGCACATAGAATGTCCTGGAGGCAAGAATGATTAGGAAGCTATTATAATAGTCCTGGTGATAGGTGAGCTCCTATCAACCTGTGACATTCTGTGATTCTCTCTTGAGTATATGATCTTGTATGTATGGGCCAACAGTAGTGCTGAGCCCATGTGATAAACAACCTGAGTGGGTACAAACGTGAGAGATACAGCACCATAGTATGATTAGTATGCTGGACTTGGCGTCACGAAGACCTAGGTTTGCATCCTACCTTAGGCTCTTATTATCTGTGTGACCCTGGACAGTCACTTACCTTGTCTGAGTCT